TAATTAATTAATTAATTAGTAACATAATTTTTTTCGGCTTTTTTGTTTTTTTAAGGTTGTTTTTTTTTTCTTTTCTAAAAGCTGAACACAAGACACACCGTTGCATAATAATCTACAGGGTATTCAACAACAAACAAAAACTGTACTATTTTTTTTTTCAAAATATCCCGCACAAAATTCGTACTAAAATGTCATAATTTGGAACAGATACAATTCATTCAAAAGTAATTCGTTTGACATAACATTCATAAAGAAGAAACCCGTTTTCGAAAATGGAAATGGCTTTTATTAAAAACAACATATAAACGCAAAATGCACTTATTTAAGGAAAGTCATGAAATGGTTGGGTTTGTTTGTTTGTTGTTGTTTGTTTTTTTGGGGGGGGGTTGGGGGGGTCTCTTCCTTTTTTCTTTTAGAATCTAGTCTTTCCATCCCTGTAACATTTGAACAATAATATTTTTTTCTCTTACAGAGTTTTTTAAGGGGAAAAAATTGATTCTGGAATTCATAGAACCAGCTCTCAAAATATCCTTCTATGGACTTGTCACACTTTAATGCGTCGTTTGTAATGTTCTGTGGTGGCCAAACACAAAGATCCACCCAACCACGAGTACCCCAAGCTACACACACTGTACACCTTACAGTATGGAGTTGCTTCTAGAGACAGTAGGGTGGTGGGTGAGCTTGCCCAAACAGGCATTAATTTGTGGAGTTAACATATCATGGAATGTGAATATGGAGTTTGCCCAGGAATCAAATATCATAAAGGAATGTTCATGCTTTTCAAGGCGATCGAGGAATCATGAACACATTGCTAAGGCAAAAATGTTGAAATTGTTTTTATTTCACTTTCTTAATTTGTGGTATAGCTTGCGTGTGTTCAAGAAATATTTTGTCGAAATTCAAACTATAACTGTAGAGAAAGGCAAGGAAAAATACACAGTGTAGCTGCATTGTGAATGGGTAAATCCCCCTTCCTTCTCTCTCTCTCTCTCTCTCTCTCTCTCT